TGGATTTCATTTATCTTATTTTAGTTTAAGTGTTTAGGTTAATAGTCGTAATTTTTTTTAATACATAATTATTGTTGTAAATGAATACTTGATTTAATCCTCTAAATTTTTATATGATTGTTTTCTTTTGAACTTAATTAGCTGATAATATATGCTATATATTGTATGCACTACAATATAATATATATTCAAATATTCTCTTTCAAAACAAACACGAAAACGTTATTAAGTAATTAAAGTTTAAAATACTTTTTTTTTATTAGATCAACTATAATTTTTAATAATAATTTAGAAAATTATTTAAATTTTAATAATTTAGAAAAACTATAATTTTTAATAATGATTTTTTAAAATATTTCTTAAAAAATTCTGACAAAGCGTTATTATTATTATTCGTTTAAATTTTCGCAATATTTTCGTGCTTGAAAACATTTCAATTATTTCTCGTCCTCTAAAATTTTCATCGATAAATATTTTATCGATCGAGAAAACAGGTTAACAGGCAACTATGAGCTTCAATTTTTTTCTCGCTCGAAATTGCATCATTTCGTTATTGTACAAAAATCGAGTAACGTGGTGTTCGAGAAAATGGTATCGGCCCAATTGTTGTGAATGGTTTTTTGATCCAGTTATTCGAGCGCGCCATATATAACGAGATTCAAGAATGCGGTTTCGTGCATTCGGCGCGTTAAACGATTTCGTTCGATAAAAGATATGTCACGAAGAATCGATCCAAAATGTTTGATTATCTTTTGTATCCGTGTTACATAATTAATTTATCGACGAGTAATTTATTTAAGAGGCTCTATTCGACGAAAGAGAAAGATTAATTTTTAGGTTAAGTTGTATATATATATAGGTTAGGTTTCATTTATTGCATCATGGTATGGAATTTTTTTTGTTTAACTTGAATTGAGAGTGCAATACAATTACAATTATGATTGTTTAAGCTATATTGTTTATATAAATTAGACTAAATTCGGTTGATTGATTCATTATCGCGTATAACAATTCTTGGTTTTTATATTTGGAAAAAAAAAAAAGGTATTAACTTTATGTATAATTTCATATTATAATTAAATTTCTCACCGATTCCTTTGAAACCGACTTTATTGTCAATAACTGTCGTTCATAAATTACACGACAAAGCATCGTTAAATCCAGATACTGGCAATAATAGCACGTATTGTATTGCAATACAGAGATAACATGTTACTAATTCAAGTTTTTAATAAAAGCTTTTTTTTCTCTTTTTCTAAATCTAAATAATCTAAATAATCTAAGAAATAGAAGATAGAGAAGATGTAAACAAAAATTTTATTTGGAATAATGATCATGGAAGAACATATATCAAGGTCATTCAGTGAAATCACTTCCGTTCCAAATAAATTACTTTCAAAACATACTCTTCTTCTTTTTATATAAATATATACGCCTCTTGTAATTATAAAATTATAATCATACATTTTGTATAATGTGTCCCCTCCTCTAAACCGTGCTCAAAAATTCCCGATACAAATCAATTCCGTTGTCGTTCTCGTTTCACCTGGGATGAACGGATGGGATGACTCCTCACAGAGAAAGTCTCGCCTAAAGGATCGCCTTATGTGTCCCGATGGTGAGACGGTGGTAAAGCACGTCCATAAACGTTTCTCTCTGGAAAAGGAACAGGTGGAGTGAAAGAGAGAG